TTCCTCCTTCAAAACTGTGTGATAAGCATGGAACAACAGAACATTTAGCACATTTTAAAATTGTATGTATATACAATCATAAATTATTTTATTTTTAAAAATATTTAGGTTGGAAGGAATACTTTTTCTTTCAAACACCACAGAAGTTTTCCCTTCCTTGATTTTGTTCTAGATTGAAAATAAGTATTAACCAAGAAGGAGAATGAATAATTCTCAAATACACACCATACTTTAATTATCTCTGACTCTCCACTGAAACTTTATCATCCAGTCTTAAGTAATATTCTCTGATTTCAGGGACATATCTCAACCCAGCTTCCTTCTTCCCTAGAGCTGGGATTAGGACTATGCAATGACAGCAACAATGACTATTCAAGGAAAGTATAGCAGGATCTGCAAAGGTCCACCTGTGTTTTATACTCCTACCCTTTACCTGAAAGGATTGCATCACCATTCTGGAACAATCATATTGATAATCTATTACATTCACCCAAGGCTATCACAGGTATGTGTCTTCATGGTTATGGAGACAAGTTTATCACAAACATACTTATCATGCCTGGTTCCACATTGGGTGCTAGGAGTACAGTTATGAATATGATTGGCATCACAACTCCCTTCAAGAAGCTTCTAGCTAAGGAAAGTTGGAGTTTTCAGGTTGGCCTCTTATAAAACAGCCTTTTTGAGAAAACAATAGCCCAAGATAAATATTAATTATAAAATCTCTCTGAAGAAATAGAAAATGTGTGACAAATAAAAAGGCAAAATATGTCACTTAAACATTTAGATAAATAATATAGTATTTATACATAAAATAGGTACAGTTAAAATATTTCTAAAAATTGCTTTCTTCTAAAAATACTATACGTGCTGGAGTCTCAAAAGAAATTATTAAGAATCTTTGGGGGGCTGGGACTGTAGTAGAGTGCTTGCCTAGCATGCATGAGGCACTGCCTTTGTCCTCAGCACCACATAAAAATAAGCAAATAAATTAAAGACACTCTTTATTTACATCTACAATTACCAAAACAAATTTTAAAAAAAGAATATTTAGAATTTTTCTTGTTGTAACACAACTACAAGGGCTATGTCTTATTAATCCAAAGGCATTTCCACATGAAGGTTGTCTGGTTCTAATGAAACTCCAAGTTTCAAGAAAAAAAACTGTTAAAATCATACACAATTTTATGAAAAAATTATAACTATATTCTCCTGAAATAAAGGTAAAACTGGTAAATAACTAAATGGGTTTTGGCGTCTATGACATTACTTTATGGTAGAATCTTTGCTGATTGCTGCACACGTATGTTAAAACCCACGTTTAATCCTGAGAATGACATATCCTGTCACTGCTGGGAGTTGACATACATGGCACATGGATTTCAAGATGAAGGATACTTCATGACTTCAGTGTTTACCATCCAAGTTGTCTTCTTAGATCATGTTCCTACTTCTTTGTATCCCCCTTACTTCACAAGAACCCCGAACCCTATCACTGATATGAGTCATACTAGTTGCCAATTTAAGAGAGAAGCAACTAGAACAGGATTTATCAGGGGCCGGGGAAAGGAGACAGCATGGTAAAAATAAAAAGGAAGTGCCTTTTCCCTCTGGTATTAAATTTGAAGGAGAAGCAAGTGCTACCATGATGTCCACGGAGTCTCCTGCCACCTTAAACCTCAGCAGAGGATGAGACAGGATGGCCAAGCTGGAGACATGTGCTGTGGGACCTGCCATGTTTCCTTGGACTCCTCCCTGAATGGCCCAGGGCATGGGCACACACACAGATATGGATGTGGTAATGCAGGAGATAGCCAGTGTCGTTTTATGATCATCTTCACATACAGAGCTCCTTCTGCTCCTGCCAACATCAGAGGGTCAGTTTAGTGCTGGATCACAATGCTCCTCACTTTATGTATTCTTTGACCTTAATTGTATTAAAATCGATTTAACACAAAAATCAGTAACCCTAACCTGGCATGACATACTTCTGTCCTCTACATGGGGCTACTGAGAGCCATCCAGGATTGCTTAGGAAATTGGATCTACTAGAGCTTGACACTTCGTATGAGAAGGCCAAAGATACTTCACAGATTGGTTGATATATTAGCCTCATCTTTGGATCACATTATTCAGTCCCAATATTTCTTTTAAACCATGGGAAAGCTTTGTATTATTTCCAAAAAAGTAAAATCCTCCTTTCAAAAAAAGGCACCCTTTGAGTGTTAATGTAAATAGTCACTTGCTTTTCCATGACAGGCACCTTCATCATTAATATTCATTTCATGATGAGAATTCTACACACAGATGAAGGTCAAAGTCACCTGAGACTCCTCTCATGAGGAAAATATTATTTTTAAAATGTTATCAATGCACACATATGTAGACGTATAAATATTTATATGAAAACTTACTGCCCACTCAGTGAATAGAAGCGGGAATAGCAATGATGTGCTCTGGGAATCCTCCCTGTGTGACTGTACTTTCAAAGCAGAAGAGCTCGGTATTTCCTTTGCTATTTCTTTCCCTGTGTCTAATGGGGAAAGGTCAATGTTTCATATAACATAAGCAGAAAGCGACTCTGGATTCTGTTCCAGTTTACAGAAAGGAAAAGATGAGAGGCCTCAGAAGGCTAGGTGGCCTAAGATCACACTTGGAGGTTAAACCTAGAACACAATTTTCTTGACCCTCAATTCAGTCCTAGTTTTGTGGTAAAGCAATAATCTTTGGTGTGGGAAAAAGGTATCAGGTTTGCTAGCAGAAATAGAAAGCATTACAATAGTGAATTTAGGATGGACTATGAAGTGTGGCCAGACCTTGGAGTGAGACCAAGACAACAGGCTGAACTGTCGGGTTCTTTGTATTCCTAACCACAAGAGATAACAGACAAGCACATGGCAGAAAATTCAACCAGAAAGAATTAAAGGTCTTTGATCAAAGCTGCATCCTGTATTTTCCTCTAAAGTCTGTCCTAGCAATTAAATCCTACCTTTTCATTAAAAAGAAAAAAAAATCCTAAAAAAAAAAAAAATGTAACCTGGAAATAGTGGCAGATCTGTATATAGGATAAGAAACACTGTCTTGGAGGAAAGTTTGAGGACAAATTAGATCAAATTGGATCACAAACCAATAATGATGTCAAAATGGGAAAAAAATGGTTTATGTGTCAACCTTGTCATGAGCCTATAAACTCAAGTGATTTCCTAAATCCCGATAGTCTGCCACTTCTCCCTGAACTTTTATCAGAGTAGCATTTGAATAAAGTCAGGAAGCAATGTTCCACGTCATCTCAGTTCACCTCAGCATTAGTAAGTGGAGGAAAACTCCAGACACTCTGGACATCGGCCTGTAGGGTGGGATTGTAAGGTTCCTGGGGCTCCGAATAAGGGTCAGGAAGCTTAGACAGCATCAGGCCTAGATCAGTGACCAGCTCTTATATGTTAGTTAGCTTTTCATCACTGTGACCAAATATCTGGCAAGAACAACTTAGAGGTGTCAGAGATTCAGTCCACACTCAACTAACCTCATAGCTCTGGGCCCAAGGTGAGTCAGAACATTATGGTGGAGGGGCATGGCAGAGAAAGGCTTCTCACTCCAAATTTCAAGGATATTATAATTTCCAGAGTTTATGTAACTTCTTCTAAACAACTTTTCCCAACAGAAATGGAAATTTTCTTATGAGGCAGCCTGGTCTCAATGTCCAGCCTCTTCCAGTTGCAATTTCTAGTGATTAAAAATAAATCATTTATGTTCTATTAGCATTCAATCAGCAGGGTAAGGGAAGGCTCAAAAACAGACCATAAAAACTTCTGTGGTTATAGCCATTTGTCAATTAACCATGGGATGATGTTTTGAGAAACGTGTCTTTAGTTGATTTTGTTGTTATTTGAACACCATAGAGTACACTTCACAAACCTAGATGGCAGGGCCAATTATAAACCTAGGCTATGTGGTATGTACCATCACATATGCAGCCATAGTTAGTCAAAACATCATCATGCAAGCCCATTATTGCACCTGACACTTCTCTTGGATAATCACTGGGCACAGGTAAGCTAGACTCTGTTCCCTGAGTAACATCTGTTCTAGGTGAGAAGCAAAGCTATCAAGAGAAATGGCAAGGCCTCTGTTGTGAAGATCTATCTATATAACTCTGGGATGCATCTGTAGGGTCATGTCCACACCAAATCTTATTGGGGTCAGATATATCTTTCTTTTAGTAGTTCTCATTTTCAAGTGAATGGACTGACAAAGATAAACAACTGCATTTATGAAAGGTGTTGATACAGTGTTGTGTCTGTATGGGGTTATGCTTTTGGCACTCTGTGATTCTCTCATAAATTTATAGAACTTGGAGCCTTTTAGCAGTATACTATCTTCAAGTTTGATTAATACAATGGTTAAGAACAGAATTTACTGTGTTAACAACTGAACTTGGCATGAAATATGGATTGGCCTATTTGTTGTAGCCTTAAAATAATAAAGAGTAAAAATGCACACAAAAAATATTGAAACAAAATTGTCAGAACTCTTAGTTACCAATAAGTTAGTAGGTTCAATGAGGAAAATAAATATAGAGATCTATTTTTTAAGTTCTTAAAAATATTTCATATGGTCTTGAGACAAGCCAGACCGTAATTCTTACCTGAAAATTATACATGCAAAAAAAAAAAGATCTTCACAATACAATTTAGAATTTTGCAAGGAAAAATTTTCCTTTAATTTTAGGAACACCTATATGTTTGTATGTTCAAATATAGTGTGTGTGTGTGTGTGTGTGTGTGTGTCCCTGTGGAAAACCATCATTAATATTCAAATCGCACTAATTTTTTTTCTAGGTCCACAGATATTTCATATAATCTCTGGACTTATCTATACTCATAAGTTTGTTCTACTCAAAAGAGAAATAATTGTTCAAACCATCAAAAGCAGTGTCTTTCCAATGTTAGGAACACATCTTCTGTCTTAGTTAGAAATGGGAGAAGTTAAAATTGTCTTACCATCCAAGCTGTGACAAAGTCCCCCATCCAGGTCCCTACTGCAGCTAATTTCATGAAACTTTCATTGCGGATGCCCATATAGTCTGTAATGATATATGCTCTGTGGAAACAAACACACAAGACATTGCCTGGACTCAGACAGCCATCTAGTCAAAGTGTTTTAGTTCAGCAACACACAAAGAGACGTTCCCTTGGGTCTCAACAAGCTACCTTGCTTTGGTCTCACCACGTATGCTTATATATTTGAAAGGCTGGGAAGAGCTCTGAAGGTGTCTGGGTCAGCTTCAATTAGATTTGAAGGCTGATTGTGGATCTAGCAATTATCATGTGCATTTCATATTTGAACTGCAAGACCAGCAACAGCTTTTGAAAAATCAAACAGAAATACTCAGCAAAGGCATCATTTCAGGCTCACTCAAGACTGAGCAGAGCAGAAACGATTCCTGAATTAGACAGCTTGAAAGGGGAGAGGAGAGCTAAGTTAGCTGCAGTTATGTCAACTCAAAAACTACTAAAAAGGTGCTAAGTTAGGCTTTTATATTTATTAGAATATTGAATTTTATCACTTTATTTTTGTATATCTAATTCATGTTTGCTTGAGATAACACCAATTCATATTCTTCACTACTCAGAGACAGATTTAAGGAAACAATAGATCATTAAATACCATCATTAATAAGACCACAGTGTCATTTATTAAGCATTTTCTTTTTCAATTTTCTCATATACTAATTTTTACTAATTAAGTGTTATTTTCCCACTTTGTGATTTCTTAGAGAAAATTGGGACTCCAGAGTTCACTTAATTGGCCCAATCAATAATACATAACTAATGAATGGTTGCTAGGATCAATTTTGCCTTCCTTCCTTTTTTTTTTTAACTCAGTTACTGAGTTTGTTTTTTTCCTTTCTCAACTCAGATTGATTTTTATTTTAAATTGTGTTCCTTTTATTATAAATGATAGTTATATAATATTCAGTATTAAATTTGATTATTCTTAGATTAATTTTATAATAGATAATGATATGCTCCTTTTTTCCTATTGAAATTGTGAAAATGCAAGTTTTTCAAGTTAATAAGAGGTAAATTATTTCTAATTCAGTTGTGTCCCTTCCAACACAGAGTTATTTCAGGTTCTTTTGTTACCTATATAACAAATATTCTGGATAATGTTCAGAATAATATCAAGATTTGGGAAAAATTTCCATACAAGGAAACAATGTTAAATTTTATTTAAATGCATATAATTTAAATTACTACCAAAATAACAACCAGAATGTTTCACTTAATAACAAAGGTAAACTTATAAAATCTTAAAGCAATTCTTTTTCCACAAGTTTCATTCACCTACCTTGGAAGGTCTATATAAATGTGTTATGGTCACAACCCCAAATTTGGGGTCTCCAATTCCATGGATCTCCACAGTAGCAAAAAAAAAAGTATAACTACCATAAATTGCATGCTTACACTGTGCCCTTTAAAAATAGTGACTCCATCAATTTTGATGTAAGTTACAGTAAAAGGTACTTATATCAAAGTACCTTTACCTATTACAATTTCACATAAATGAAACTGAAGTTTAGATAATCTTTGCAACTTGCTCATGGTAAGCATGTAGTATCTGGACAGGATTGGAATTTAAACTTGATTGACTCTCAAATATAGGCACTTAACCAGTATTACAAGTATTAGTGAAGATGTAAAAACACACAGAATATATATTCCCCTCAAACCCTTGCACTGGATATTTCAGTGGACAGCAACAATCAAGACAAAATTCCCTTGAAAATAAGTTATGAGAGGAAATAACAGTAGCCTGCAGAAGCTTCAGCTCTTCAGAGTTACCATCAAGTCTTGGACTCATTTTAGGTTCCAAGTTAAGTAGCTGCTTCTGCTTGGAACCCCCTAGTTAACTAGGACATCTTAGTGTTAGTCCATTCAGTACCATGATCACAAAATAACTCTGAGGAGTGACTTCAATGTACTATAGAATATTGGCACTGGTAACTGTCCAGCTCTTTCAGTTTCACCTATTTTGAAGAACTTGCTCAATATCACTTTCCTATCTGTCTGCTTTGTCAATGAATCCTAGAACCATGAGGATCAAATGAAAATGTTATTGTACATTCCATGTGGTTGTATCAATATGTATAAGGGAAAGCATCATTCTTTTATTTCAATATCTAAAAATATGGATGGGCTGGATATGTTTGCAAAAGATCGATGATCTAGCCAAGGACAACAAAAAAAATCTAAATAAAATACAAAAATTACCCACCCAAAATTCTAAAAGGCACCCAAGATTTGATAAAGCAATGAGGACTAGAAATAACATGACACTAGATTGAAGAGAATTATGGAAAAAGTTAGAATCATGGGAAGGCTAGCTATAGTTTTGATAGACACACTTGCTAATTCTGCATGCTTGGCAAGAGGTTAACAATCTGAATTTCACCTGGGCAGAGGATAGTCTCATGATCTGAATAAACAATATTGGTAACTTAAGAAAACAATATTATAGAAAGAAAGGAGGACCCAGAGGAGAAGATGACCTACAGTTGGTTTGCCTTTCAAGACATTTGCCATATTCTGAATTTGGGGGAGGAGGCTATCAGACTAAGTATAAGTCTCAAAAAAGCACTATGGAAACTGGGAACAGTGGTGCTCACCTGTAATCTCAGCAATTGGAAGGCTGAGGCAGGAGAATCCCAAGTTCGAAGCCAGCCTTGACAACTTGGTGAGACTCAGTCTCCAAATAACAAAACAAAACAAAAAGGGGCTGGGGATATAGCTCAGTGGTAGAGAACACCTGGGTTCAATTCCCAGTTCAACAAAATAAAAAATAAAAATAAAGGATGTGGAGATTCAGCAACTTCACTGTGCTGAGGAGACTATTATACCTCAGAACTTTCCAAGAGTGTGATCCAAGAGAATAAGGGTTGTGGAGGGCTAGAACAAAGCACAGAGGGACATACCCTTGATAAAAGCACAAATCAGTCCTTTCCCAGTCCATTCTATGACAGATTATAGTGTCAGCTTCTGCTCTTTTCCCCTAACAGAGGAACGAGTGAGCTTTTTCTAGAAAAATAAAATATACTCTAGATCTGATATAAATTTTTATACAGGACATCTGTCAGCCATTCAAAAATTACTATGAGGTCAAGAAATAGGACCATATCACAAGAGGAAAAAAATCTAAAGCAAGATAATAAGTTTCAGGAAGACAGGCTATTTTGTTCATGGATGAATCCCCAGTGCCTAGAGCACTGCTTGCATATACTAAGTGATCAGCAAACATTTGTTAAACTTCTAAATTAATGAAGTGACCAAATTATTCAGATTTATTTCCATATGACATGGGTAGACCTATGTACATTAAACCCTAGGAATATAAATAAAATGGGATTGAATCACAAAGAACCTTTCCCATATAAAAAGGCCTTAAAAAGTTTTAAATTGTTTGATGGGTTGTTCACTTTACTTCCCCAAAGACGTTTGTAGCTCTTTGCTATCCTATGATCACCTAGAAAGTCAGATCAACACAAAATAAATTATTCTTTCCTCTGGCTGTGAGCACATGATAAGTTCTAGTTGCTATAACAATGCAGATGAGATAGCATGGATAATTTATGAAATAACTAATGTACTGAAAAGCGAACAGTGATATATGAAGACTAGTAGTTATTCTTTGCTGCTTCAGATAAATATGAGGATAAGTTATTAATATGCAAACTTGTCATAAAATTTTTCAACTACTATTTCATTGATTTTCATTGTCTATTAACATTTAACAATAATTCCCAGTTGGATTGTAAAGGACAGTGTATGTATATTTTTTAATCAGCCAGTTTGAATATCACATGAACTTTAAGAAAGTGAAGTTGTAGAGCTGCACATACACATGGGTTTGGAGAAGTGATTCAGGATTAAATATTTACTAGGAGGCACTGTTAAAACTTCAGTTTTGTTCATCACTTCAGTTGAATATTTCAACTATTCATATGTCTTTTGGTTGTTTTTATTTGTACTTTAACTATTATTTCTACTATGCATAGATTTAGAAAATAATGCAGATCTACCAGCCTTTCAGGTAAATATCAATCATTAATACAGTCTTTAAAGATGCTACATAAATTTTTTCATAGGCTAAAACTTCAGTTTTTATTCTTCCTTAAGACTTCAAACTTAACTGTCAAGTCCATAACAAATGTGTGGAAACTGCAATATATAGGATCTGGAAAAGGTTAATAATCATTGGAACAACTCAACAACATGAGCAAGTAACTTTCATCCCTATTGAGACCTATGTGCTAAATGACTAAACTAAACAGACTCTAACATGAACTAAATAATAAAACTATAATATTATGAATTGGTCTTATGGGTGAGAGTCTTGATCATTAACAATAAAAGTTTCATTTCACTTCAGTCTATTACTTATACCTAAGTGGTTGCAGTCAATGCCAGGTGATTTAGGGGTTGAATCTCTGAAAGTTTAACAGGAGGCAGTAAACATAGATCACCAAACCAAAATTGATTCATGCTTCACTGAAGATCCATCTGTGGCCAGCTGGATTCATAATGTCACAGCTGTCTCTCCCAGTCATGTTTGGGCAGCATAAACAAGATTGGGGGCTTCATATACAAGTAAATCATGGGTAAGGAGTTGACGTACGTGAGAAAAGTCCTGCATTGAACACAATGAAACTAACACAAAAACTCTTAAGTATTCTTAACACATGGAGGTAAAAAAATTTCACTACAAAATGTCAATGATTGTTGGGGACCACATTTTATCCCCTGTGAACTGAGGAACAAAATCTACAGCAAGATAAAAGGAGTCCAGAAGCAGGGAGAAAATTCAAACAGACTGATTCTTGTAAAGAAGGTAAGAAGAAACAGGAGAGACCAAGGGTGATGTGGAAGTCTAATTCCAATGTCTGCCTGAGACCTGCACTCCCACTTTTTGAGTTCCAAGGGGCACACCTGTTACTACAAGTAACACCACCTTTGAACCCCATCTTTGTTCTTCAGCTGACTTGACTGATCTTCTATTAGTACCAATGAAAAGTGTTGTTAACTATTTACAATGGAAAAGAT